TCTCTATTTATTGCAAGGAAGAACAAGTCAGTAAAAACAGCACAGGCTTCCCCAGTATCTGCCAGCAGCACCTGCCTTCTGCAGCAGCTGTGGAGAATCCCCCAGGGCCTTTTTCATCAGCACAGCTATAAAAGAAAAGCAGAAGGGATTGAGTACAACAGCTAGAACACTACATCTGTACATGCACCTCTTTACAGGCATGCCTGAAACACCATAGGTTCAGCAGAAGAAGGAGGCTGGAGAAGCTCCTGACATGAAGGACAAAATGAGGTCTCTGCCTAGGGAAAGGCTAGTGATTTACACAAGTCATTTCAGTTGAGGGGAGGATGAAGTAGTAGGGATTTTACCTTTCTGTGGGAGCTAATGTGGCATATAACAAAGAGGATTCCTGCTAAAGAACAACACAACACCCATATAGGGCAGCCAGAATGACAGAACTGCAAGTCCAAAGCACAGCAAGTGATACCAGTGCTCGTACCAGAGCTTCTGCAACCCACCGCAGTGAGGGATAGGGATGTCCTCCCTTGTTCTTCCACTGCAAGCGACAAGACTTGCAGAAATGTCTCAGACTCAGGTGGAAGACAGTTTCAGAAAGAGGTAACACCTTTCTGAAAAGGCTTTCCTGCCAGGCCCTTCTGGTTCAAACACGGAGGCTCTCGTCTCGGAGAGCTTCCACCTGAGCTACACTGTCATCCTAGCAAAACACTGATTCCCACCTGCCACATGCTATGTATTTGGGACAGACAAGGAAAAAAGGTTGTAATTAGGAGACAGTTCCCTAGTTCCAGATAAGCCCTGGTGTGGAAGAGCAATGCAAGCACTGTAAACTCTCACTGCAGTGGTGGGATACAGGGAAAACCAAAATCTTCACTCCAAGACTGGGCAAGTAGCCTGGGCATATCACTACTAAGCTGTACCCTGACCCTTACTTTCTAATAATCTTTTTTTTCCACAGAATTTAATAATCAACTAAAAAGAAGTGCTTAAGACATGAGTCAAGCACCCTCTTACAGATAACCCAAGAGAAAGGCTCCCGCACATTCTGAGGTACATCTCATGTACCAGTTCAAGGTAGGTTTCTTTTGCATTTAATTATTTCTCCCATGAATAAGTAACACCTAATGAAAGTGCTCTTACCTTGACAGTATTTGTATTCTGATACCCACTTGCTAGTCGCATGCCTATCCTACAACAGTCCTTTGTTAAGGTTACAGTAGCAAGGGTGGGAGATGTGTGGAAGCTGACACTGCCTAACGTAAGTGCTTAAAGCAGTCATTTAATTTATATCAACTTCTTATTTCAGACTTTAGGCCCAAAACCCACTGAATTAGCCCTCTTCATAGAGTGTCACTCATCATTTTGCCCTTTCTGCCTATGTACTTAAGAGCAGACACACCAGTACCTCATTCACACCTGTGCTTACACCACACTTAACCTTGGCACAGTTTCACAGGAGGGAAATCTCAAACACAGCACCAGTCACAGTCCTCTCAGGTACATGATTCATTTTATGGGCAAGGGACTAGCTTCATGATGAAGAATGAATAAACCAACCACTATTCTTGAGTTACCATGGTTGTTCAAGGACTAGCTGTAGAAGCTGCTACCACATCAACCTCTTTGACCCTCCTGCCTTGCCCTGGAAAGCTGCCTAGAGATACTGCTACACACAGAAACCCAGCAAGAGCATTTGTGAACCTAGGGAAATAGATTGAACTTGTGCTAATGCATATTCATAAATGCTCCTATTCTTACATGTTTGTGTAAGAAAATGCCAAATCATTTAGTCACAGATAATACATCAGAGTACAGCTCATCTCTTAAGCAATGCCCTCCATACTCACCATTCCCAATTTGGTGTTGCCTGACAATTTTCCTTCACAACAGTTGCTAAGCAAAACATTTGCAATTCAACTTATCACAACAGGTAAGTGGTTCCTAGTGGTTACAACAGTAGCATGCATGGCTGTTGAGTTCATGCTTTGACGTACCCTGGGTTGTGTTTTCTTTCAGATCTCTGATCTCAGGGTATTTTACTCTTTACCTAAGGAATGCCTGAATCATTTCTACTGCAATATATGCATTATGGGTACAATAGGAATAATAAAATTAGCAGATTCCAGCTCCTGCATCGTAATACCTTAGGGGGAAAAAAAAAAACAAAACCAACCCGAAACCCAAACAAACATAAAGCCCAACCCCAAAGCCCCGTCACTGACAAGAAACACAAACCCAAACAGCAGGGCATGCAGTTTGCATGCAGTCTACAAGTCCTCATTGCCATGATGTTTGTCATCCATTTTCTCTACTAAGGAATGATCTAAGTGAGGCAAGGTGCATGCAGATGACAGATAGCAGTGTTAGTTACCACATAAAAGTCAAATTACCCCTGCCAGAAACAGCCAGGGAACATTTATTACCACTTGTTTCAGTAGGCAAGGTGCACTCAGATGACAGATAATGTTGGTTACTGCGCAGAAGGCAAATTATCCCAGTACAAAACAGACAAGGAATATATCTATTGCCACTTGTTTCAGAAGTCCCCAAAGCTTCATTCCAGCAATATCCATGCAAGATCTGTCAGTACTTACTGAAACCAATACCTTGCTAGCACCTTAAGACATCTACCACAAGTCTTCTAACTAAAGGAACCTGGGGTAATTTCTGGAAGTTCAAGTAGCTTTCCATTTTTCTTATAACAACCCTGTTTAGTGCAAGACCAATATAAAAAGGCTAATTCAAGACAGAGTCAAACTGCAATATATTTAATATGTGTGGCTAAGGAACTAACATAGGTTTACAGTCACAGATAGCATTCAACAGAATAGAAAGCAGGAACTCATCTCCTTTCCTGCTTAAGTATGAAAGAGTAAACAAAAGTCAACTTCATTGAGAAAAAAGGAGGGTCCTTCTCACCTTAGTAACAAGACAGATGGACAAGCTTATTTCAAGCTTATGCTTGTCCTATTCCCCTTCAGACCAAGAGCTTCCTAAGCAAATAGACCCCAATAAAAACCAGGATGGGTCAAGAGAAGTTCTTTTTCCATTAGCTTTTGCTTCATCACAGGAAGGGGAGGGGGGAGGAGGGGAGATTGCACCTCTCCATCCTTTCTCTTCCACTAATTCATGTAAACTTTATCCATGGATGATCAGAATTTCCAGGTAAGACAGATGAAAAACATGTAGTGATGGAAAAAAAAGATCTTTGGAAGCATGGGGGAAAACAGACTTCTGCAATTCCTAAGAGATAATAGGAGTCTTCAGAAACTGCTTTGGAAATTGGGAGCAATGCAGGTTGCTGCCACATGCTGAAGCTCTAAAGAGGACAAGGCAGGTCTTCACAAACGCACTGGTACTGTACTGAAGTGAAAAAGCCCCATGGTGTCTATGTGTATATGTGGGCAGAAATGAGTTTGTTAGAGAAAAAACAGAGGAATCTGCCTTGTGCAGGATAAGTGGAAGGAAGGTAAATCACACCCCGCCTTTGGGCCCCTTGGAAGTTTGCTACAGTTATGCCCATGCTGATAGCAATGGTAAGCTATATACCATGCTGCAAAATTACAAAACCACACCTCAAAATCTAATTTTAATACTATACTTGGCTCTCTAGCACCACAACTGCTTGTATTCAGTACCAGACAGATTGCTGAGTGACACCCATCCACACCCTCATGCCAAGGGGCACAGTCCCACTTTCTAGACTGGTTACTATTGAGCCTGAACAGCTTCATGCACTAATCTCAAACCAGCATTCAGACAGGATCTACTTTGGTAGGGATCAAGTTATTATGAAATAAATTAATTCCTGACAAAACTTCCCTGGCTTCAAACTTAGACCAATAATAAATGTAGTTCAGCTGAATCCAGTCTTTGTTCCTAAAACGGTGCATTTTACGTTCTCCTAACAGCTCCCCAAGGGCTGCTGGGATGAGCAGGTCTCTGCTAGTGAGCTTATGGCAGACTGCATAGCTTTACAGGAGTACCAACATGAAACACATTGTTTCAGGGTCTCCAGTTAAGTACTAATCTTCTTCCGGATTTGGATGCCAGCCACGATTATGAGAAGTAAACAGAACTGTGCCATGTGATATGCGTGCTTAACCCTCTTCCTGCTGGCAGTCGGATATCAGCACAAAGTTGCAATGGGAACAGCAAAAGAGTGTCTACACAGGCTGACTGGCCTTTTGTCTTCAGCTTGCTGCTGTCTTCCTCTGGAAAACCATGACCACACAATAGAAGTTTGAAGAAGGATGAATGTGATTTCCACCATAACCAGTCCCCTGGAAGTCTGCTTTATTCAGTGATCTACTCTACTCTGACTCAAGCATATGCCTGGGCACCAGTGACAGCCGCATCCAGCAACACAACCGGTCTACGTGCAGCTTCACAGAGAAAAGGGTATGGGTAATTAAGATCCCACAGTGGGAGGCTCAAGCTAATCTCGTCTGTGGGCCAGGAAGAAATAATCCCACTCCCAACACACTGAATAACCAGCGGATGGCCTTGAAGAGCAAGGGCACAGTTGTCCCAACCCTTTCCTCAGCAAGCAATCACGCGATTATTACAAACTACAGTAGGTATTGGCCATTACCCAGAGACACCGCGGCTGCTGCACAAGCATCTAGCACAGGGCATCACATGCTGTGCTCCCACTCCAACTGCTGCCACAAGTGTTGTGCAATTATGACCACACAACCCTGCACCAATACCCACCACAGCTTGGGAAGAGGAATTTCAGCCCCTCTTTCCCATGGGATCCTCTTCCCTCCCATGGGATTACATATCCTATCATCAAGGCACGTAGGATCTAACCTTTGCAGAACTCTTCCTTCCTCTTATGCCATCAGATGGCCACAGAGTATTGTGCTTGTAAGGGAAATGTTTTCTTCCTGCACAAATCCGGCAATCCAACTCCAAAAGTGGATTTTCCACAGCGTTAAGTTCAGCCTGCTACTTAGCAAGTCTAGCTACACTTATTAGTGGCCTAGTACCTCCACACGTCCTGCCTCCTACATCCTATGCACTGCACTGGCAACTGCCAGAGGAAGTTAGTCATTTCCACGTTAGAGAGCCTCCCATGCCATAAGCCAGCCAACCCATTTCTGCACGCAGGTAAGGTATTGTTAAGTGAATTAGAATTTATTTCTTCCCTCCTCAGTTGCCAAAACAACTAAGCCTCTTGCATTACTTAGCAGGCTACTCTCTAGGACTTTTTTTCCTCCTGACTTCCTGATGCTTAAGAACCCAACCCTGATAATTTAGAGCCTGTCCCCAGCTCTGTGTGGTTTCTCTCTATTTAGGACTGCTGTAGGCTGAGCTCTACCCAAGAAGACTCGGCACAGAGCCCTGATACGTTCATGCTGTAGACTTTGAAGTACACTTGAGCAACAGTTGGCAGAGCCAACACGGTCCGTATCAACAGTGACCAGGCAGCAAAAGCAGACCAGAGCACTATGCATTGTCAGGGAATAAAGAGCCAGGCACCCATCAGTGGAACCACTGCAGCAGAGCATTCCCCTGCTGACAGGGGATTCCTGCTCAGCTCACTGTAGCAGGAGCCAGTCCTACTGCATTATCCCAACAGGGAAGCACCAGCTCCCAGGCGTGAAGGGGCAACCCACAGCACAGCCTTTTGCTCCCCAAACTCCCTACAGCAGCCTTGCTGCTCTTTAAAGATGGGGATCAGACTACTGGTACCTGTTCATGGAAGAAGTCTGGTATTCTGCAAAGCAGCATGGCAAAGTCCTCGGGTTTTGATCTTTCAGACTTGGAGGGATAAAGACTGCGCTTACTGAGCAGCTTTGTTTCCTCAAAGCTTCAGTAACTGGGCTCGTGTGAACTGCCCTAAACTCTGGCAATCTCTGCAGGGCCTAAGAGGAGGAGGCTAATGTTCCTGCATAGGCAACAGAAGCAGCTTCCTTCCCAGCTCAGCAGCTGCTGCACAGCAGTTTTTTGACTGGCTATTAAGCACTCACTTCCAAAAGGCGGGAGACTGCATTGGACTTGAAAATGAGACAGATGCCAAATCCCAGCCCAGGGCCAGCGCCTGGGGAACCAGGCAATGCAATGTTCAGAACACAGATCCACCTATCTTTACTTCCACTGCAAAAACAGTTCAGATATATATTTTTTTTTAACTTAGGCTCTCTCCAGCTCTTTCACATTCTCTTGCTGCTCCCTCACTGTGGGGAGCTATCTATGTTCAACTCTTCTACCGTTTTGGTACATTAATTTTAACACCGATTCAGTTCTTTCACATAGCTCACAGTTCATGTCCACAAGCAGTTATGTTGGAGCAATACAGAGGCTGTGCCTTGCAAGGGAGGGAAGGAGCCACTGAGAATACTTACTTCTCAGGCAGCTACTGCTAGCGCAGCCCTCTTTATCAAGCCATAAACATAGTCTTTCTGCTTTCAACATTACTTACTTGCGGCAGGCAGGTTTCCATTCTCCCACTCCAAATCCCTTCCCCCATAATCTCAAATGTCTTGCATGGCTAGAGGTGGTTTTGAGCTGCATTCCTACCTATGGAGAGTTGGCGGACAGTTTATTCTTTTCACATGCAGACTAGAACTATCACCTGGTCCAAGCTGCAAAAATTCAAGGAATTTGGGCAGGACTTACAAGAAAGTGAGAAAGCATTGCTTTGCTTTCCAACCGAATAAAAGGTATTCAGAAGCCTGGAAAACAGCACAAACCTCAAGCTCCTTTTGGCTGCCAGAGCCATATCCCATATGCATTTGCTGTAGCTCCAAAAACCATATTGCTGAGGGGCTGGTTTAACAGCTGGTGTTGACCACTTAATTGACAAGCTGCCGTTAAAGTGGGCAGTCCCACTCTACACTCACCCTTCAACTTCTCTCACTCTGTCACTCCCTTCTTCTCTTAACCTTAGGATCAGCAGGATCAACTCTGCTGTCTGGTTGAAAACTCACTTTGCTGACCATGGGCGCATCCAGCTGAGAACAAGTGTCAGATAAGCACAGTCAAACTGGACTGAAGATTGTGAAACTGCATCTGGAATGAGTCTTGCCCCAAGTAAAGGGATGAAGAGAGAACACTCAACACTTGCATAAGCAAAAGTTAAATAAATTAGGTGCAAACCCCAAGATTTTGGCAGGTCTTTGGAATAATTAGGGACTGCCAGTTTGGATATACTTTATGTCACCCTCTGGCAAACTGTCTAGAATACACTTTACAGACTACAATTAAACAATACATTTATTCACTCCTTCAGTACAGCTGCAGAAGTACCGAAGTTCACTACTCAAAAAGCAGCTAAGTGCTATGCAAACTACGTCAAGAGCTCTGGAGTGCGCTATCCCACAGTATACATATGTAAAAATATTTTACCTACTCATATCCTCTTGAGAAGGCAAAGCAAGTAGCAAATGGAGGGTAAATTAAGCCCCAGTTAGATAGAAATAGGCATGTTTACCTAATATTTTCATTCTCTTCCACTAAGATTGGAAGAGTGGCTTTTGTTCTGGTGCAAGTAACACCACCAAAGCAGTGTCTACACAAAAGAGATTAAAGATAATTATTAAAAACTTACTAACAAAAAGTTTCAAAAGCACCATACTTTCCAGCACCACATCATTTTATTGATGTATCAGACCATGAAAGCCAGCAATTCACCTAAGCAAAACAGCAATCTTCAAAGCATATAAAATCACTGAACCCAATGGCAGAGTAAGATGGGAACTCAGATTTTCCTTCCCAGTTCCTGTTAATGAAGTTGAGGCAAGGAAAGGAAGATGAGAAGAGGAGGAAGGAGAATTTCAGATAGGAAACTGTAAGCAGAAAAAGATAACAAGGGGCAGCATGGGAGATTTTAAACTCAAAGCAAAATTTAACAAAAAATAGTATGCTCATGATTTTATTCCCTTTGTTTACACCCACATCAGAAACTTACTACCTAATACTGCTGTATTACACTGACAGAGTTGGAAGGGTGTGGAGAAAGGGTCATCTATACCCTCAAGTTTGTAGCAAGAAGTCTGAAAGCAGACATCTGAAGCTAAAGATGCCAGAAATACAGAAGCATCACTCTGAAGTGGTCTATTACTAGATCTCATCCTGAGGACAGGGAAGCACTCAAGCAGGGTGAGCCAACAGCGGCTGTGCCATCACCTGAAACCAACAGCAAGTCAAATGCATGGTACTAGTGTTGAATACAGAATTGAAAACAATTTCATTGAGTCAAGTGGATTGAAATTACTAAAGGGAAGCAACTTTTACGTGCTATAATTAGCACAACTTGTCTTAAAATAATCAGTTTTAGATACAACTTTTTATGCTACCATCTATTCAGTGCTTGTGGCTTTACAGCACCTGGGAACCATGCTCACAGATCAGAGTTCCGTGGGGCAGGGCAGTATACAAACACAGGCCAGAAAGACTGTCCCTTTCCCCAGATACCCTGCAGGATGTGAGCACAGTAAGAGACTGCAGGAAGATGCAAATAGCTGCTAGGACAGAGTACACGGAAACAGGCAGACTCTGCTCAGGACAGCAAGAAAAGAACTTGGCATGTCACAAGGCCCACCACATCTATCTCTAGCCACTGGAACTCTAGGACTTCTTCACCTTACTGACCACTCTGACCTACATGGCAACAAGTACATTTTCAATCTTTCATGCAAATCAGCGATAGCAATAGATTTCTGGGGCAATAAGGTAACTTTACAGACAGCAGGGGCAAAGGCTGACAGCACACATCTATCCACTTTAAATGTGTTCATATTTTGCTCCTCACCACTGTTCTCTTCCTCCTCAAGAAAGAAGAGCCTGAGTTACAACAAGCTCCATATTGGGAGGTAAAAATGAGGAATCAGAACAATGGCTGAAGAAAAGCACGTTGGTACTGCCCTCCTGTCAGGAAAGCGGTCTCATTTGCACCCAAAAGAAGTGGCTGAAGAATGCAGCAGAGGGATGTGTCTGCTTGGAAACCCCTAGGCCTGCAGAATTAATCTGGAGCTGAAGTCTCTTGGCCTTGACTGCAAAGTTAGTAATTTGGCAGGTGGGAGGACAGCACAGACATTGTGCATAGTGACAAGAGGGTACTCTGACAGCAAAAGGAGACATGTAATAAAACAGATGTCAAGTGCTACTACATCATTACTTCATACCACCAGCTGCCCTGCAAGTTCCACCCAACACTGGTGTCTTCTGAGGACAGCTTGCAAAGAGAAGGCTTCTTTCTGACAAAGGGGCAGCAGATCACCATAATCTGGGCACACAAGATCACCTCCATGGGCTTCTGAGCTTCTCTGGGCTGTGGGAGGGCCAAGTAGCACCAGCCAGGGCTTGGCATGACAGACAGAGTGGCCTGTGCCAGCCTTGCCCTGTATCCCCTATACCCACCCCTAGGTCATCAGCAGTAATTAACTCTCACAGGACTGCAAGCAAAAGTTGTTCCAAGCTCTGCAAACACAGAGGACATTATGCTTCAAGTGTTTCAGTTACTGTATGCAGTTCACTAATTACAGTAGTAATGATTGGATTATGGCCAGTTAACAGCTTTAAAGAAACAAGACATCACAGGAGGGGGTGGGAAATACTCCTTTGGGTCTAGGATGGAAACAGCTTTCAGCAGTCCACGCTGCAGGAGGCTGTCAATAGCTGGCTGGGTCAGACTGTTTGCAACAGGCTGCAAGCAGCAGTGTAATGTGTCACTAAATGATATGCTGGCACACTAAAATCAGTGTTGGAGGAGGTGTGGTTGCAGGAACAGAAGATCCCGTGTTCACACGCCGGCTCCGTCAGCTCCAACACCTCCGCCTGACTGGACTCAGAAGACATGCTGCAGCCGGGTGTGTGCACGCTAATGTACCTACAGAGTATGATGCTGTGAGACTTTGTTTCAGCATGCAAGGAGATGTAACTACGAGAGTTTTACAAACATTTTAACAGCTAGCTCCAACCAAACCACCAAATGCAAACACCCACAGACAGTATTAGGAGCCAAAGGTGGCCACCAGAAAGTTCGAAGTTTCTTTTCATTGCCAATTGGTGCCAGCACTGGAAGGACCACAGTATCAGGCTCTAATCCGTTAGTCCTTCCATTTGCCAAAAGTCCATACAAGGAACATGCAGGGAGAGTCCTGGATTCTCACACGTCTTACCCTTCCTCTGCATCTGACTGACCACCTTGCAGAAAAGCAGGTGGACCAATGGATCCCTGCAAAAAGTCTTATCCCAATGCACTAAAGACAGCAACAAGAAGCACTGCCAGCTATGGAAGGTGGCCATGCCTTTTCTGGATGGCAATAGGTCCCAGAGGCACAGCCTCCCCCTTGATGGGCATCTTCTGCCCCACAGCAGCTTCCACAAAAGAAGAAAAGACTATCCTACTTTACAGAAGAAATCTAGTGTGTTGAAACACACTATGAAGGGAACAACACTCATTCTCTGATGACAATCCTGATGGCACTGCCAGCAGTACACCCTTGTGGGTTGGTAGCTCTGCCCAACTAAGGAAGGCCAACCCCTTGCACCCCACCACCCACAACCACCACACCTTGGTGGTGACATCCATTGTGTCTCCTGCACAAACTCTTCAATGAGTTTCACCCCCTCCTCAGCAGTATCTTGCTGTGCTTGGCTTCCTTGTTCCCCTCTCCTTTCAGAGGACTTCAGATGACAGCTGGCAGAAACTGAGTTTGGTATCGCTGGCTGGAGGGTGAGGATTTCTGGCAAGAGAGAACCATGGAGCTGGGCACCTTGCCCAGAGTGAGTTCACACTTGGCTCACCACAGCTGGAAATAGCCTCATCCCTGGCCAGAGTTCCCCAACGGCCCAACAAAACCCTCGGGAAACAGCAAGTTTCCACGCGTTAGCCGTTTTGAAATGGCTGTGTTCATGGACGTACCACCCCTACCAACCTCCTCTGCACAGCACAGCCGCCTGCAAGTGCCACTGCCAAAAGGTGCTCGATGAGCAAGCGCTGACTAAGCGCAAGGACTTGCTTTGTGTGTGGAGTCAGGTGCGGTCAAGATAAACGCTTCGCTTCCTCTGGATGTGCTCCTCCCACACAGCAGCACCGGGAGCACAGCTACAGGGAAGACAGAGGCTTGAACAAAGGTAGCCCCATGCTCCTCTTCCCACCACGCCCTTGCACCAAAGCTACTGCCCTCCCCTCCCACATCGGTGGGAGATCTCCACATCTCCCAAACCAGAAGAAACATGTAAGAAACTCACCTGGAAGCATAAATATGTTTAAAAGCTGGAACTGCTTTTGACTGCAAAGTTTTCCTTAGGAAATTAAGTATTTTCTGTTGTGATAAGCCCTGGCATAGACACGGTCTAAACAGCTCTAAAGGAAGTGTCCTTTCTTTGATACTGTTTAGCAGTTTAGAGCTTGCTCCTTTTTGTTTTTTTTTTTCTTCACCTGTGGAACCAAATTATAACATTTTCTTGTGGATAATACATCTAAGAGCAGAACTAACTCATCTTCTGAAGGACAGGATTTAAATAAACTGAGGGGATCACAGGTAAGTACATTGGGTGGCAAGAGAAACTCAGCTGCCATAGACCCAAGGAATCTGGCCAGGAAACAGGTTTCTGGGATGCACACATCACTTTCCATGATGAAGAAAAGAGCACTCAGCTGGGATACAGAGACCATACATGGTTCTCTTGCTCTCCCTCATCTCTGAGAAGCCTTTATGGGCTAGCTCCTGGAGCAAAGATGTAACAGCACAACTTCCATTTACAGCAGCAGTGAAGTCCATGTGCTTAGCATCATATGCTGCAGCAAGGAGTTACAAGTGCCCTGGCTGCCTGATGCAAAGGCTATGGAAAGCACAAGTCCTTCCTCTGCTGCCAACTGGCCTTGGTTCAGAGCCTATGTATTATGGGAGAGCTGTCCTCAGACTAATGAAAGGAAGAACTGATTATTCTGCATGAAACCTCTCCAGCCTCCTGCACCCTGCTCACAGAAGGGGCAGAGCAAGCAGGCTGCCCATCCACACTGCGCTGTGTGGCACAGAGACACAAAATGTCACAAGAGTTATTCTGCAAACGAGGAGCACACGTTAAGACATAGGAGCAGAGCCCACCTGTCCTATCCTGAAGGGCAGACCCTACACCACAGTAATGCATGGTC